AATGTTGGAGGTTGTGGTGGTATCTCCCCTGGCGATACTGCCAGGCCTGTGGTGACAGGATGGCTGTCAACTCTCACTGCCAGCACAGATAACACACATGATTATCAACATATTAGAGGAAACAAACATCTGCAGCATGCCTTCTTGTCAGTGCTTGTTTCCAATCCACACTAATAGTGTTACAATCATCAAGCTTCTTTGCTGGGCTGACAAGTAATTGTTCCTAAATGTATACTAGGTTTGCTAATTGTATTGTGAAAAGTCATCCTTTTGATTGTATTTTTTAAACTGGAGGTCTCCGCAATGAGAATGTTTATAGTTGAGACGAGTTTCAACCATGTTCAGACTCCAATCACACTGGGAACACAATTACTCAACACCAGAAAGTTGCCTTAATATCAACAACATATAGGACTCCAGAATAAATCAACAAATTTGACGTTTTCACATGTAGAAATAAAAACACTATTGTTTTCACCGAAACTACAAAATACTTTGCTTTCCAAGAATATTATTATGGTGACAGCTTGCAAAGTTTGTCTATAAATACAAGTGTTGTATTTGGGTTCTACCAGTTGAAAGTGAGCACTGCCAGTAGGTTTAGAGGTGGATCAGCAGCCCCTGAATATTGTCTTTATCCCCCATTAGCAAAACATAACAATCAGGGAAGATAGCTGTCGGCCAAGGGCTGTGATGTTGAAAATCTCCAAATTAGCCTACTTAAAAGTTTTCTGGCTGATTTAACACTGATTCTGGAGCTTTAATGGAAGATCAAACAACTAGGAGGGTATAAAATGGAACCGCTAGGACCTTTATGAAAGATTTTTATCTTCCCCAATTTAATGATTCCGGGGAACCTCGCACCTGCAAAGCTAGAGAAGATCTATTACAAAGGACAAAAAATAATAATTGCAGTTTGTCTTAAATAAAAAAGTATTTGGATAACACTGCTGAAGAAAATTCTTTTCATAATGATTTTTTAGTTAAAGTGGGTGTTTGTTGCATAACTGGGCTGCCGCATCAATTATTCTTGTAATCGCTTGAAGGTCATGCAACAACTTTTACTTTATTTCCTCAACTTCGTGAGGTCGTGTGGATGTCCTTTATGACAACCAAGTAAACAATAGGCTTCAATAAATATGGCATCCACATGTAAATAACCCTTGATGGAGCTTGTATAGACCAAATATTTATTGGTGTGATCAAGAGTGAGCTACTCGCCATGTGAGTATGATTGTATGGAGTACAGTAAGGACAACCAAAATACTTTCACTCACTGACAAATGATCAACATGAAGCAGATATTACACGGCCCCCAAACATATGTGATTCTAAGAACAAGCTGATTCATCAGTTTTGCTTTTATACTTTAACCACTGACAGATAAATGGACACCAAAATATATTGCCCCACAACACAGTTGTCAATTAGCAACAGTTCCTGAAAGCGCCCAAATTCTTTCCTACAGGAATTTCTCAGCTATCCCATATAATGCCCCCAATGTGGGGATTTTTACAGTATGAGAACATCTGTGAATTGGCCCCCAGACACATAAATAGTAGCCACTTTCATGTTGTTGTAGGAATGAAGGTGGCTTATACCACTGATAAGAAGCTCACCCGAGGCCGCCCAAACCCATCTATCAGGAACTATAGGGCACTTGAGGTTGTTGGGCCAAGGTGGTCCACTTAGCACTCTTCACCAGAGTCAACCACCCTCAACCCTCATCCACACCCAGCTGCATGGCAGGACTAGTAGCAATAAGGACAGAAATGCGATCAACTTCACACACACATACTTTCATATTTCAAACCCAAAAAATATGAATAATTATAAAAGGAATTAATATATATATATATTGATGAGGAGAATGATACAGGTGCAGAAAAGATGGACCGTATCAAATTTCTTAAATGAATGTCATTTAAATTGAAACATCCTTTTCACAAGAATCCTGTGAGATTGATCTATTTGTCCTACAAGAATGGTAAGTCAAGCTGCAGGCAGCCTGGAGGTTCCTTCCACCCCCCTCTCAAGCCCTGTCTGACCCAGCAATACAGTATATACTCCCCAGCCCGGCACCAGGTGACCACATCCCATAATTCTTCCCCTGTCTTGACAAGTCTACTGATTGGTCACATTTTATTGCTGTACTACAAACAAAAAGTGTATTTTTTAAATGGAGCAAGATTGGACGGTACAGGGCAGTTGATAAGAAGCAAGTGGGGAATCTAAAGTTAATGCCCATCTGGTGACCTGCTCCACTACTTTATGTGGCCACAACGTGCTGATTTATAGACACCAAACTGATTCTTTCTTCCTGGGAACTCCCAGGACTTCAAGTCAATCATTAACACATCATAGCTAGTTTTTCCATCATAAAGGACAAACATACAAAATACCTCAAAACAGCTACCCTTTTCACCTCTAAAGCATCTAATATTTAAATGGATGGTACTGAATCACAATGCACAAAGCAATGTTGACTCAACAACCATACGGAAACCTAGTTGCAATGCAAGAAACTGCTGTGAATCTTGGCTGAAACTATGCAGAAACAAATGATGACAGGAAAGACCCAGTGTTGATGTCAACATGCTGCAAGAGTGGACTTATCATGGAAGGAGTGGTCTTGACTACGCACCCCCAACCCCCCCCTTCCCAGATGGGAGTGTAATCTGTATTGGTGAAAGCCTAGTGTGATATCAGCATGTGTTAACATCACTTATACAAGCTGGTGATGGGGGGTTGGGCAGATTGCAACAGACACAGACCAGATGAGCCAATGACAACACTGCTTATGTCCTGACAGCGTCTTACAAGCAGGTGATATGGGAAATATTTCACACATGTATCTCATAGATGTTATCTTGCTTGTTGTGGCAGAAGGTCGATCTCAGCGCAACCAGTCTTAGCAATGTGAAGAGGCGAATAATTTTAATCACCTGTGTGGCGCAACTAACAAGGTGACTGGGATGATAGACAGAGCTGTCAAGATGCTTTCACTGCAGAGTTCCACTTCACTTGTCTTCAAACATTCTTATATATCTCACCAATTCTTTAAGATTTATAAACATCAGCAAAGTTCATAGAACTGTAAATTCAGTCAGGATAGAATTTCAAGTGAACGTTTACAATTTCATTGAACTAGTTTCGGGAAATTGTTCTGGATAACCAAAATATTTGTTCACATGTCTGAAACAATATTTCAAACAATGTTCGGAATGTATTTACCAAAACTCCCAAGCAAAAGCCTTGCTCTAACTGGTAGGACAAATATCTCACAAGCATTGCATCTCCTCAATTCACACTCCCTGAAAATTCAAACTGCTCACAATTAGGCTTTTAGCGTAAAAGGTCAAAAAGAGAGAAAATGTTGTTTCCTTGGATGAGAGTTGTCTAAATAATCCTGCTCGTCTTGGTCTAAAATAGGTATCTTTGTCAACAAGACCTGTGCAGCATTTGACAGAGGGTGAGGAATGCAATGGGAACACCATTCCACATATTCCTTCACATAGCAATTCCTCTAATCCACCAGTTAGTGCTGTTCAGTAACAAAACAAATCCCCAGCAAGATTATTATGAAAGACAATATTGTAATAGTCTGTCTAGACTTGTAAAATATCAAGAAGCAGCTGTCAAAAGTTGCTCCAATTCCTGTACTTTTCTAATCAGAAGGCTGATGTGAATTCATCAGTAAGTGGTTGTGTAGGAATGTTGTGGAGATTACAGGAAACCCCCTCTTGTAGCCAGCTGCCACCAATCACAACACAAGTAGCAAACTAGCTGGCACTCACAACTGGCCTGCACTGGAGACACTTGAAGCACCTTCAGTACAGATCTGTACCTGTTCTACCACTGTTCACTATTACTATTTAATCATCTCACCTGAACTCAACTTGAAAAGCTCTCTACACCACTGTTTCACCAAGGAATCCAGAACCTCACCCTAACCTTCTTTTCAACCAAGATAAGCTTTAAGCTCCTTACACCACTCTTTACCCTATGATTCCACCACCCCTCCTTTAATACCCTCTCTTCGTGAACACAGCTCTACAACATCCTCATCTCCTCAGTATCACTAGCCCCATACATCAACTGGCTACCCTTGCCCCTGCCGTTCTCACCCTAACACATATCTCCATCAGGACCCAGTCTTGCCGCCAGTGTCTTGCAGAGCAGCTATGCTTCATTAACCCTCTCTCAGGCAGCTGGACACATGCTCTGGCCATTAAATTCATAGTATTTACATATGGGCCATTTAGTCCCTGTTTGTATTATTAGAGACAAGCATTAACTTGAGCTCATTATGTCCTTAAATGGCTTTCCACCGAGTACAAGAACAATATGGGGCAGGAGAGTATTGAGGAAAGCCACAGATTCAGAATAGCCTTCATTTGGCCGGTAATAAATTTTATTTCCCCTCACGCGGAGTGATGAATTGTCATGTACTAATGTTGTTTGGCGGGCGGGAAATCTGGTGAGTACCACATACAGCTTCATAGTCAGGCAACCTGCACATTAGTACACCTCCAACAGACACTTACTATTATTTTCTCTGTTTATTTCATTTTTTTACAGCCTTTAACAGCCTCAAATCTAATTTCACGACTGTTGATCGCCAATACATAGGGGCAGACTGATAATTTGAAGAACAGATATAACAGGACCAGTAATAAATCTGCACAAATGAGCATACTAATAGCCCTGGCAAGCTTGCATCAAAAGGATCTGCTAGTTTACTGAACGAAGCCTAACGTCTATGTAAACACAAGGTAACACACCTTTCCTCCAACATCACGCAACAGTGTTGGAAAAACAAAAGGCAAACAAAAACATTCATAACATCAAATTCACCACCTATCAAATCAGCCATTTTCCTGAAGCAAATCATTTGATAACTATTATCAATGTGCAAACTGATTATCTACCACTGCCAGCATGCCCTAAGTAGTGAGTACAAAGTGGACTATGATGGGTAGAAAAAGCATTGCCCTTACCTTGCCATATCTCTGTGCATAAGACCCAGTTAGAAGAGAGTGAAAGATAATTATCGTTTCGTCTAAATCCCATACAAAAACTCTCTCTAAGTCAGACTCTGGCCCTGGTGAGGGCTGTGTTCGCCGCCCACGGTTCCTTGGTACTCTCTTGCCTGTAAAAACACCAACAGTCAACAGTCAACACAAACACAAGCATTATTACATCAGGGTTCATCTTGTCTAAAAACATAATAACAAATTATTAAAGGTTAGTTATATTTAGTAGGATAAAAATCCATGTTTCACAACTAGTCATGGTTAAGTAAATAGTGCCACTTCCCATCAACATCAGTAAGGAACTGTTCACCAGAAACAGGAAGCATCAGCAGTCAATAAAACTGTGGAAAACCCACACAATATAGCAGCATGCTTGTTTAATACGACTAAACACCCATGGTGAAGAGACACGGTATGATTACACTGTTACACTACACGCTTTACAATGAGTAACCTTTCACAATCATTTACTTGCTTCTCTCTCAGGAAGAAAGGTAATTGTCTTACCTGTGCTACCATTCTCTTGTTTCAAAGGTGGGGATGGACTGGTTATGTTATATTGACTCTCTGCTGGAAAAGACACATTTCACATGATTTTATGGTTTAGACATGACAGGTTTCAGCAATATATACAACATTTAAGTTTTCACCTCAAGTACTTTGGTTTGCAGACACAAGTTAAGACAACTAGTTTGTATGAGAGTGTCCAACTACTTTTGATGGCTACCTAATATAATAAGTTCTCATGTTGCAAAAAAGGGAAATATTTCAATATGTTCAAACATGAACTAATCATAAGTGCACTGAACATATTGCCATGCTTATTTCATCATAGAGCAATGATGAAATATTAACAAATACTAAATGTAAATTGTCTCTTCCTTTCATGTACTGAAGCTGAATTTAATATGGGCATGATCATTATAATATTCTTTTCTCAAGACTATGCCTGACACTGGAACAGTTGAAGCCCTGAATATGATTTATCACGCAGCATGTATGTTCAAGGCACTTCATGATCTTTACAGCTAAATTCACACCACCATTTAGTTATGTTTGAAGGTTATGACCTGAAAAGAATTCTTGATAGAATACAAACCCACAAAGCTTCCAGGAAAGGAAACACTTTGCTATGATTCTATATAGATGACATTTTAAAATAAACAAATCATCGACATGAAGCCAACCATGTGTGTCAGAGATTCATCCATCAACTTGGAGATTTTAAGACCTTTCAAAACCTACATTTACAACCGAGGCAAAATAAAAGCATTTATTTGAGGTAGACAATATGCAACAGGACAAATTACAGGCCTTGTTGGGAATAAATCAGCCTGTAGCGCATCCCCCTGTGACAGACCTAGCTGGCTCTTCACTGGTGGCAGGGGTGAAAGAGAATTTACGAGGTAAGGGTCAGATGTGGTTCCTGCTCAGCTAGCAAGGACAATGGCCACCAAGCGATTGTCCCAATATAGGGAGTGCTATTGTATTGGTCGGCAGTATTAATCTGCTGGCGAGATCTTCTTGTCATACCCCACATCAAAATGGACAGCATTAAAACTAGCCACGGAAAACTAAGGACAAATCTGTCACACCTGACTGGGTAGAAAATCCACCTTGATCATAATTTCAATTCCTTTAGATCCCTTTGTGATTGGTTCTGATAAGATGGTATAAGCATGTCACATAGATGTGTTTTCTTGAAAAAAATATGTTGTTGAAATCAGGATGAGACTGCAGAATTTCATCAGTTACAGCTGCCACACTGAGATTGGACTGAACATGAATATTTATACAACCCTTTCAAAATCTCACACAGCATACTTCCCAAGTAACAGGCTGACAGAATATACAAAAGGAAAGGTCCGGGACTTCTGATGATTCAGTTTGTAGCCCTTTTCAAACTAAAGAACTAGACAACCTCCTTAATAATTTTGCATTCCTAGTTAAAGTTGCAGATAGGCTATGCTGGAAGTAGCCAGAAGGCCCAGATCTACCTCAAGTGCAGACATCAGTAAGACACAGTGAACAAGGTTGCCCAGAAAGTGGGACTACAGTCTAATGAACGTGGTGGGGTGACACACCTGCTTCATGCACACTAGGTGTGAGTTGTTGGTCACTGTGTTCACTAGACAACTGGCGTAAACTGTCTATTTGGTGCCCATGCAGATGATACAGTCCATTGGCACACTTTGTCGAGACTAGAGAACAAACAGCATTGTTATCACAAGATATTCACCACTATACCTTTGAAATAGGGCTTGAAATAAACACAGCACAGCTTAGTCAAAATTTAGATACAAGAAAACAGAGAACAATTTCTTAAATATATATTTTTAGAAAGAAAGGCATATGTGAATTACATATTTAATCATACAAATACAATTCTTAGTGATTCAATTTGGAATTTTCCTTGTCTTCCCCAACAAACTGATAGATAAATATAATAAAAGAAATATCAGAAGCCACTGCAAAGGTATGATGTGGTAATGCAATGTAGAATGCTTCGAGAAAATAAATATTTCTGAGAACTTTTATTGATCTTCACTGAGCAACAGATAAATGTACTTCAGACTGAAAACATTACAGCAAAACAAATGTCAAATGACAGTCAAGTTCGTTTGGCCTGAAGTACTTGTTTAATGTAGGCATTACGAAATGTCAAATCATGCCATTATCATTCATTCATCATCAGCAGGGCCATTTTGTCAACGGAATCACATATACAGGCATTTATCAATTGAATTGTATGACATGAGACATGGATATGATGACATGTCATAACTATTGGCTGAATAGAAACACCATCCATTGGAGTGCACCATGCTGTTGCAGATGAAGAGCTGTTCACGTCTTCCAGGGTGGGACAAAGAAACAAGCCACACCAACACACTGGAAGGAGGGGAACACAGGACCTCAAGTGTGTGGTTTGCATACTATAAAGACACACCAGCACTCTGGCAGCTGGACAGACAGAACATAGCAGAGGATACTACTACATGACAACTAGGCCAGGATTCAACACTAGCAGCAGGCAGGCAGGCAGGCAGGGAGATAGGGAGGAAGGGGAGGCTACATATTATCAATGCCTCATGCCAAGCAAATCCTACATGCAATAAATGAAAACACAACATTAAAGGAAAGTAATATTCCTACTGACATCCAGATAACATCATTTGGGTAAAATAACTACAATAACTGCAACCTAATTGCTCCAAGGATGCCTACATGTATATACAGATTACAGCATGTGTGACAACCATCACTCTGATAATGGAAATACATATTCATAAGGAATCTATATTTCTTGATGACATGAACAAGTCGTGGAACAACACACATGGTTGGCTAATACTGTACATTAGTGCCAGGCAATACTAACATACCTCATTACTTATTCACTGATGCAACATGTGATAATGCACCATATGGTTGCTGAATCTTAAGCAACTTACTGTTCAAACATATGTATAAAAAAGGATGTGTACTCAATCATTAAACATGAAATATCTCATTTATTTCCTCTCAGCTTTCATGCTTAGATACTGCAGCGAAAACCTAAATCTGAAAAGTAAATTCTATCACACACTGCTACGCTGACTACATGATAGGTGCAAGTCAAGAGAACATGTGGATATATATATGCATGCATATGCTTCTAAACTACAAGCTTCACGATCAAACAGCAACAACTGAAACGGGTGGACCATCTTTGCGGCACACCAAGAACATGGAAAATATCCTTATTACAGAATGACATATTTTAATTTAATTGAAGTATTTTAATTAGATATTAAATATATATGTCTCAAAATTTCTGAATGGAAATAATCAGACATATTTTCCCTTAATGCCCAAAAAACCTTAACATTAAAATGTTGATTTTGAGTGGTGCAATCAAAGACGATCCACAGACATCAGTACTAGGTGTACCCACCTGTGGTGGTGGTGTTGGGGACATCAATGAGTTGATATGTCTGTGTAGAAGGCACTGTGGATGCAGTGGACACTGACGTTGTCGGGATGTTGTAGGGGTACTGGGGGTAGAAGCCGGTACTTGTTGTACCATAACCAGTGTAGTACCCATCTATGGCCTGCAAACACAACAGAGAAACTTAACACTCACCAATGTACATATCTCGTATAACGCTAGTTACACTCATGTGTTATATGTGTGTTAAACAACAGCTGAAGAAAATTTAGAAATACACTCAATATGAAGTTAATTTGATAATAAATCTATTTCAGACAATCAATCTTTGTTTCATTTGTCAAGTTTAAGATAAACTCCTACTTTGTGTACTGAATTCACTGTACTGATATACAATAATTAGCAGCCTCCCACATCCTACACAGATAGCATAGGACTTCCAGCAGATCAATGGACAAAGGAATAACGGGTTAATGAGACCTGTATATATACAATGGGAACACAACACAATTTTATAAAGCAAATCCTAAATTCAAATATTGTGGACAAGTTCATCTGGAAATCAATTCCCTGATAATAAACTAGCTGAGCAAATGTTGACAGATTTGATGTTATTTCTGTGACAAATTTCACATTTCATTTGAACAGACATTCATTGGACGAATAGTAATTCTATGGAAGAGCCTGTTATAATGAAATACTGATGTGGTGATTAAAGGTTGAAAGTGATAATTTGTGTCTAACGAGTGTATAAAAATAAAATGCATCTGGTGCCAGCTCTGGCAGCTTAACACTGTGAAATCCATGGGCTAGAAATAGTCCCCCATCTGTTACCTGCCTGATCCTATTCATAATTCCAACTGACTCCTTCATCACATTCACTTGCCTGTCAACTACCAAACCAACAACTGGGTAATGGCTGACTTTCATACTAAAAATATGTGGCAAAAGTCAAGTGTCTCTAATAATTGACCTCAGCCGGCAAATCCAAGTGCCTAATTTTCCCAATCAGCGTCTGTTTCACTTGTAATCAATAAGTCATACATCACTGATGACCAGAATTCGATGACATTGTCTCAGACATGGACAAAATTAACAATCCGATATTTTCAGAAGCGAAATCTTACTCAATATCTGTCTAAAATGCTGAGGCGTCTGGGAATAACAGGATTCAGCTTGCACTACACTTCAGTGTCACAAAATGGATCATATGTACACCTTGCACTACAGGTACAACAAAACATTAGTCCATCCCAGGAAGGCCCTGTTAAGGACATGGCCTGCTACATACATAATATTGAGTTTGATGATTAACACTCAGTTACACATGGACCTGGTCAGAATAAAACTTTCCTCTGGACTCCTGACCTGTAATCACTACAAGCCATACACTTAAAGACACAACAAGACAACACAGATCACTACAGTAGTTGATTCATCAACACTGACGCAGCCAGGCAGATCTGGTCAACCTGGCAGTATTTCTTTTGTCCTTATTAATTTCCATGAGTTATTAGTTACGCTCAAGTATTATCAAAATATATTGATCAATGGAAATATTCACATAACGAGCACCGAGCCAGTAAACTCGGCTAAGGCCGCAAGTTCACCTGTGGTTATTGGTGACAATTAGAACAAATATGCTGAAAGGTCATTGGCCAATTTGACACAGACAAAATTAATTTACTTCAAATCAGCATCCTGCTGGAAATTGTCATTTATTGTTATAGAATATTATCAAAACACAATGGACAGAAAGCCTTGAAGTTATGACACACAAATTACAAATTCTTTTGTTACACCTAAATGATGGCAAAACCAATCAGCATAGAAAACAAACAGAACAATGGGGAGTGTGCCACATCACTGTGATGTGAATGAAGGCTGGTTTTGTCTTCTGGTTTGAATTCAGGCCCTGTCTGCCTTACAAGGTGTTCTCATTGATTATAACAGTGACAGGTACGTGGATTGTCCATCGATTTCATTCTGCCTGCCTCCCCATAAACAAAAGGTAAGTTCACGGCTGATGGAAACAAGTGTGCTGCAGGGTAACATGACACCAAAAAAAAAGGAAAAGAGGACATCCAAAATGGCGACAGTTGTAGATTTATAGTGCCACAAGCTGACTACATGGCACCTTGGACAATAGTGGGAAAAATTACTGCTTAGCTGTTTCAAACAAATGCTCAATCCAAAATCATTTCCGAGTTGATGAATAGTGTTTGCCATTGAGGCTTTTCCTGTTTGGAGGAAGATCTGAAGGTCCCCTGTACTTCACATAGTTAGTGGGGTCCAACAAGGTCAGGTAAAGGCACTGGGGCATCATGGGCTGCATGCTTATAGGAGAATCACAGAAGATGCAGCAATTCTCTCCCCTCATGTTATTAATGATGAAAGCCTAGCCAAAATACACAACTAGTTAACACATATTACTACAAAAGGAGTGACTATGTCACATAAGTCTGGCTTTTGGTAGAGGAAGAATAACCTATGTTAATCATCAGACAGACCAGCTACAGATTTCATTCAAAATTCAAATCTTTAATTGCTGATAGAAATATATCGAAAAATATTATTTATGTAACAATGACAAAAATTAAATAAATGAGTGTATATTTTAGTTTTAGATATAACTAACAACACATTGTATAGGCCCATCATTGATAGGGCGGACCTATAACACTTTCAGCTCATATTCAATACAGATGTTTTAAAGAAGGACAATATTCCTGCTATGTTTAAAGAGGTGACACATATAACTTCTAACCCAGATCTACACGGGTTTGACTGAAAAAAAAACAGGTAAGATTTCATCTTCTCAGACACTGCCCCCCACAAAAAAGCAGTCAATTATCTTTCTGCCTTACAACAAAAGATGACAAATGTTGGCCCTCCAGGGAACAAATGACCTTGTAATTATACATCACTGCCCACAGTGTGTCTCCTTCCTAACTTGACAATAACTCACTTTTACTGCTATAGATGCTACAAATGTTAAGTTATACTTGTAAGTACATTAATCCGACATAACGTTTACAGAGAGACATATCCCAAGTGTGCTGTCATTTCACCATCAAATAGGAACTCATGTTCATTAATGACTGTTAAAAGAATAAGTCAACTGTACAAATTGAAAGCAGAAATGTTAGTTATATTTGTGACTAAATGCAGTATAACTTGACCCAAACACACTCACTGTTTATGTAGGTTTTGCGTATCTACAGTTTGTCAATATATTTGTCCTGGGGATACCAGGAAAGTAGAGCGATATCAAATTACAAGCTTCCCTGGCACTTCGTATTCAAAGATGGCCAGTATTTGCTCTTATTAATCTTAAACACAAACACCAAGCAGAACCCAGTATAATAGAACCAGAGGAGGATATCAAGATATCACATCAGGTATGTTGACATATACACATGATAACACACTGGGAATGTTGGTGTATACACAGGATATCAAGATATCACATCAGGTATGTTGACATATACACATAACACACTGGGAATGTTGGTGTATATACAGGATATCAAGATATCACATCAGGTATGTTGACATATACACATAACACACTGGGAATGTTGGTGTATACACAGGATATCAAGATATCACATCAGGTATGTTGACATATACACATAACACACTGGGAATGTTGGTGTATATACAGGATATCAAGATATCACATCAGGTATGTTGACATATACACATGATAACACTGGGTATGTTGATGCATATACAGGATATCAAGATATCACATCAGGTAGGTTGACATAATACACATGATAACACACTGGGTATGTTGATGCATATATAGGATATCAAGATATCACATCAGGTAGGTTGACATAATACACATGATAACACACTTGGTAGGTTGATGCATATATCATGATATCACATTTGGTATGTTGATGTATACGAAGGATATCAAGATATATGTTATATATCTAGTATGTTTACATGTAGACATGATGATATCAAGATTTAATTCACATCATCTAACAGAAAAATATCAAGATATCAGATCTAGGATGTATTGACCTCCACTGGTACTGAGATATCACCTAGGGATCATCTACACATCACATAGGGTATGGTGATGTATGTTCAAAAGGATATTCAAGCTAGAGTGAGTGAGTGAGTTTTGGTTTTATGCCGCTTTTTTAGCAATATTCCAGTAATATCACGGCAGGGGACACCAGAAATGGGGCTTCACACATTGTACCCATGTGGGGAATTGAACCCAGGCCTTCGACGTGACGAGCGAACGTTTTAACCATTAGGCAACCACATCACCCCTATTCAAGCTAGAAATGTTTAGCTCAATACACAGGAACACTACAGTATTATACATCAGGTTGATAAACACAGCGCTCACAATGCCGAGTTTTCCCATTTACTATATTGCCGTAACACTGACTACATGATAAGCATCACAATACACAGGTCAGATCATGATATGTACACTGATACATATTAGCAGTAATAAGGTGACAATTTCAGAAATATATTCAACTTCAAAAGAGGCTAACATGAGACAGCAACCTGGTATTTTTAACGGTGACAGAAAGTCATAAAACATATGCTGTTTCAAGAGCATGTTTTCCAATAATTAAACTCCAAGTTGGTAGGCTTGAAACAACCGTATCTTACATAATATTGGTACTACAAAGTTCAGTATGACCTTACTACAGCAGGATATGATTTATTCAACTTGGGCATTGTATTGTTCCTGGACATATATCTAGGAACTAATACACTCCTAATAACTATATATGATGTTAACATGCCACGTCATCTGTATCTGCCAATGTCTGCACCAACAGATGCAGACCAGCATATTGGTTGACTATGTTCACATACATAGACACAAAGCAATCACCATACTACATTATGTATGTTAGTGTATATATGTATATGTAGACATTAATATACAGGCTATCAAGTCAGCTATGTTAACATACATATATGAAGAATATCAACATATATTATGTATGTTAATATATATATATTCAGGTACAAATATAACCTTGCATTACATTGCATGTTAATATGAGTGTACGTGCATCCCTATGAGTTCCGGACATATCTGTGGCCCATGTTATCATCCATATACAGTTGGATATGAAGACATGGCTGGGTCATGCTGACCGGCACCTGGACAAGGAACACCTGATACACGCCAGTTTCCAGACAATATACCTTATACTGACATGCTGGTTGACTATGGCAGATTTCATGTATACAGAATGAGTCATGAGAGCAGGGTATTCTGCAACTTACCGTTTGTGAGCTAAAACTTCCTGCTGTGTTTGTGTAAGGGATATTTGTATTAGGACCTGAAAACAAACAAAAACAGATCAAGATTTTTATTCTATAAATCATAAAACATGGATTACTGAGAGCTGTCAAGCTACACGAGTGTAAATACAAGGGGTCTTCCTGTAGCTCACAGTGTATTACTCAAGCTGACAGCATACACACACATACAGCTAAAGTACTCTCTATTATACTCACAAACCTACAGATCACTTTGAACACCAAAACTGACATTCAACTTGAGATAAATGTATAGTTTGTATCTACTGTTAGTACTTGTTTAGTCCACTTGATGTCTTCAAACCTTGGTTCCCAAACTAACACACTAATGAGGTACAGAAGGCCATTTCTCACTGTCAAATCACCAATTCAAGCTTAGTACATGAAAATTTAAATCCCTCAAAATACACATTAAGGTATCATTAAAACCTTTTGAAAGATGGATTACATATTGTAAAAGTTTCAGCTTCTATAGGAGGAAATTTATTGGGGCCAGTGACAGGACTATATTCAGGTTCTGATAACTGACGAAGTGATGGAAACATGATACCCCACGCAGGTACGGCTTAGGAGGCAGGGCATGACCTCTAGTGGCTATCAACACTCAGTGACCAATCTCCAAACTTGGGACATAGATATAGATCAGATAGATAGAAGTAAAATGGGGTCAGGACATAAGTATTTTTTTCCAGGAAACATAACTAACAGAACATTTGCGCAAATGCTCACAATAACGAACTGTAATGTACCAATCAATGAAAGGTGCAAGTAATTAGCTCTTATGGTGTAAATAATAGGTTATATAACATACACACACAATAATTATGTGTTGTGTTTTCAAAGCATACAGTGACAATAAACAGAAATAAAGGCCAGCATTATCACAAACACATTCATTCAGATGTTGCTTTATAGAATCCAATACAAAATACCAAAATAATTTGTGTTTCATTAATATTTAAAAAAACAGAAGTGAGGCATTTACATCCATAATGTTTAAACTCCAATGAAACAGTGACCGACTGCAACATATAGCTGTCATGCCACAAGGAATCCGCAACAAGGTGTGACAAGATCATAACCAAACACTAGCAAACAGCCAGTATAAAGTAATACACATCAATAACATTCTATATCAGCACTGCAAGATGGACATTTAGTCCGTTTGTCAATCCTTTTGGCTGACTGTCATCTTCCTCATTGTGCTTGCCCAGTTTGAAAGGTTGTGTTGTGAGGGCTTGAGCAATGACTGTACCATGTTTCCGGGGGGTGGGTTCATATTTATGATGCTATAACTTAGTTTGGGGTTCCTTTCTCATTATTTGTGTTGCGGATTCCTTATGTATGGAGGATATACGACAGTTTTTCTGTTGCAGTCCTTCAGTTTTCATGGGTAGGTGTGTTGAAGATGACCATATGTTGCACAGATTCTGTAGAGGGATGGAAGCTGGAGTCTGATATTAGGTCAGTGTTAGTTGATCTATGATGGATTAGCTATACGTAACATGTCAAACAGATGCAAGGCTAGTTATTGAAAGAATCAAATGACATCGATCTAGCAGAACATGCCATTCCATTTGAAGCCTAGCTTTCACACAAGCTACCACACATTCACCCAACACACACTTTCACACATGCTCATGGCCCTAGCTTTCACACAAGCTACCACACATTCACCCAACACACACTTCACACCTGCTCATGGCCCTAGCTCTCACACAAGCTTCCACACATTCACCCTTCATACACTTTCACACATGCTCTTTGACCTAGCATTCATACAAATTCTACCAAATGCAAAAGAATAGAGAACCACCTACCTCTAATCTTTAAGCAAAGGAGACATTCTACAGGATTTTGCTCATCTACTAGCATTGCTTTATATTTTTAAAGTGATTTAGAAAGAAGAGAAAAGTGTAGAAAATTTGATGAAACTTGGCATACGAACCATAATAGCTTTGGCTTGGTTGATTTAAAGGATTATATCCTGCCATATAGCTAGGAGGCGACACGACTTGGCTGGGCTGGGTTTTAAGTTTCCCCACTGAAGAAGAAGGAAAATATGGTGAGGGGAACAGTCCATGAAGCCATGATGGTTGTGTCACATCCCGCTCCCACACCTGGCACTGCACTTCACGCCCTCCACTTAACAACATTAGTCATGTACTGCCACATTCAATTTTACTCTCATCCTTTAACAATTTTTTTTTTCATTTATTGTTTGGCTGTGATTATTTTCTGTTTTTTAAAGAGAATACTGTTTCAATGAATATCCCAATATTGACTGAATAATTCTCTTCCTATGACCACTGTTTGTGGAGATCGATTCTTTGTAGCATCCTTTGGAGGTGTAAAAAAGGGGATTCACAGCCTTAATAAAGTTGATTTCCCACAAGCAAGTCGCAGCATGGCTTGTGGACAAAGACAGAACAAACCCAACTCATTCTGTTAAGTTGAAAAGCATGTAACATGTGAGTGATTTTCAAAGACGTCCTATCGTGAGCTACAACTTCCCCGCCACCCCTCAGACAGAATGGCGCGTGTTGCTCAACATTGTCAGACTTCCTCGTATCAGGACAATATACCCATCATAATCAGTCCTTTCAACCCCACCAGCACATAAATAGCCTCTCAGCTGATCACTGACAGCTTTCTATGCATACAACACCTCATTTGTTAGAAAAAAATGCTTTCCATTCAAGACCAGTCTTTCATCTGAGCATCTTACACGGGTGCCACCTCAAACCACTGCTGGAGGGTACGGACAGGTAAATCAGCTACAAAATTGCTTCTATTCACACTTTCCATAGATACATACCATCACTGCAAGCAGTTTAAATTACTTCTCAGCTGTGACAAAAAGCTTTCTTATAGTAACACAGCCATGCTTCGTAGAGTACACAATATAAGTGTTAATTTTGTGCCTTTTACGAAGGACCATCAACTTAATATAAGCAATGTCCATATACAAAGTGGAAAGAGTTGAATAGCCACTGTGTACATACAAATGTTAATCTGTTGAAGTCAGGCACTATACCATGATAATTGACTTGGCTGACACCACTACCAGGAATAGGGCAGCATACACCACACATATCTGTGTCAGTTTGGGGGGCAACAGGCAACACATGGGTGGGGGAGGGGAGACTCAGAACATATCAGCTGGAATAATGGATTTGTCAACGCCATCAAAATGCAGACCATATGCAAGGCAAGTGAGAGAAACTTAATTAATTCAACAAGTAAAATGCAGAACAATGTAAACTTCAAAGGCAACAGCTCCAACATCACACTGCTTACATTTTATAGGCTTAAAAAAGACATCTTGACTTGTGGTGTATCATTATTCTGAACATTAAACAAAAAAACATGTATGTATGCAGTGGATAAAGAAAACTGCTACCTTTGAAAATATGGTAAACATTAGAGCTAAAAGAAACTTTTATTTACAACATGAAAAGAAAACAATTAGCATAATTCTGTTAACTGGAGATGTGTGTCTAATGTCACAGTACTTGTGTTAGTCTACACCTGGGTCAGGAAGGGCCCTTGGAGGGGCTGAGGAAAGACTGGACTGGGTACGGGGCCAGATAGGGCGTGGGTAGAGCCAGATTGGGGTCAGGGGGAGACTGGGTAGAGTCTAGGTAAGGGCTTGGTAGGGCCAGGGAGAAACTGTCGAAGGGCCAGGTAGATATAGGGAGGGGCCAGTTAAAACCAGGGAGAAACTGTCGAAGGGCCAGGTAGATATAGGGAGGGGCCAGTTAAAGCCAGGGAGAAACTGTTGAAGGGCCAGTTAAAGCCAGGGAGAAACTGTTGAAGGGCCAGGCAGATATAGGGAGGGGCCAGGGAGGGGCCTGGCATGGACATTCTGAACATGGCCAAACATTAAGTTGTTAAGAATATATTTAGGAACTGTAAGGGCTCAACAAAACTTCAATGAAATCATAAAGATGAGGAAGGAATAGACCTATCAATAATTCACAAGATTTCTTCTAATTAGCATAAAACATGAATAATTCTGTTTGTGGTCTGTGTGTAAGGATATTGACGGCATGTCACAACACAGGAAGAGTCTAGGTAACTTACACTCGGTCCCATAGGCAGAAGGCAGCATGCTGTATGGGTTCTGGCCACCCTGATACGGGTACCCCGTTGATGGAATAAAAGAATTTGAACTCTGCCCACCGACGTAGGCCATGTTGTTTTCTGTGGTGGCAGTTGTGGCAGCAGCGGCGACAGCAGCAACAGTGGCGGCAGTGTCCTGTGTGGAGGTTGTTGTGATGATGCTGTTCACCTCCGCTGCTGCTGATGTTGTGAGGATTTGAGCAAACTGGCCAGCAGTTCTGTAATGAAACAAAAACATCATTCAGTAATGAATTAACAAACTTTAACAAAACTGAATATTTTACACATATTCTACTTTACCAATGAAAAGCTGCATCAGTTCCAGTGAAGCAGATGCAAATAATCAGACACAATCTGACCCTTGATGGCTGACAACACCAATATGCTGCTACATCACCATGACATACTAAAATTGCCTCCAACATAAGCTTCCAACATACTTCATGTCCAGGCACTGAGTGTAGGGAGAGAAAAACTAGCACTTCAAAGATACTACCATACCAACCTAAGTCACTAAACCCCGGTACAAGTAGTTTTGTTGTACACTTTGCAGGACAATATTTCCAAGATTCTTCATAAACATAGAGGCAGCATAAGCATGCATAACTCTACAAAACCAAAGACCAGGGCAGTTGAGCTAAATTAATCCTGTAAACCCTGGGCAAACATTCAGCTTGACATTGTCAGCACATAACACTCTTTACACTTGGGGAGTTTGACTTAAATTAAACCTATTTACTCGGGACAAAGAAAGTTTGACAAGTTTAACCCACTAACCCCTCACAAGACAAGCAAAGTTTGCACCGCCCTGGCTCTGAATTAAGCAAGTTTAACCCCTTAGCCATCAACAAACAAGTAAAGTTTAAATACAGCTTACTGAAATAAAAAGTCTGGCTGTGGGCAGGCAAGAAATGCCAGCGTGGCAGCTGAGAAAGTTTAACCTAGGGTCTACATAAAGCGCAGTCCCTTGATGGCAGGTCAGTCTCAAGTGGCGACCCAACACAGCTAAATACCACTTGATTGCACCTATTAATTTGTACAAAGTAGCCACTCACATCAAACAGACAGGTATCTCATAATGTAGGCTAAGACTGGCTGTTCCAACCAATACAGACTTCAACCTGTGAAGATTTACATGCACTTGAACCGCTCAGTAGTCACCTAAACTAGCATCAAGCTGGCAGGCTGGGCCAACACTTTCATGGGGCTTTGTGAACACCAAGCCCCTGGAGTCCTACAGCCAGCAGCAGCCAGCCAGTAGCAGCTTCACTTAGTTTCAACAGTAATGCACACAGGAAAGTTCTAGACATTTTTTATTTAAGAAAAACTTTAAAAAGTATATGGTAAGACCCTTTGACATTGAATAATTAAATAATTAAAAAGTCAACCTTTATCAGTATAAATGTTATCAAATATGTATCCATCAGTTAAAACTGGCTGACATAATATTGTTCCATGCCAGGAAAGCAAGTGTAAAGTCTGCCACAGACAAAACTGTGGATGAATGTCACTTATGAATATCACCTACTCCAGTGTTGACAACACTGCTCCATAAAAAACAGGAATAGGTGAAGCTAAAAATATTTTCTTTAATATTTGAACAAGTGCAAGTGTTTGACACAGGCTGACTTTCCATGGGGTAGTAGGTACAAATACTGCTGACATATGGTAAATCTTTATGTCAGGTCATCAACACGCTCACAGGTTTCCTCTTGAAGTTTGAAGTTTGTCCTTTATCACTTATTTTCATGTATACTTATGAATTTCGTCATATGAGGAGGTGCAAGAGTAAGAAAGACAAGACTTGCTGTCAGCGATTTCAACATATCTGATAATATTCATACAAATATTTAAAGTTTTCAGCAACTTTTAGTAACTGTTACAAATAACTTGCACCGCTCAAGTTTTAAGCAACTAATCCTATAACTGATCAATGTCCATTACAAAGGGTTGGAAACAACAGGATTTCTCTGAATAAAACTGCTGATTATTCTCCCTTTGCCACAATCAATTACAACATCTACTAAGTATACTGTGTAAATAAGACAAATCCATACATCAGCCATAAATGTTTCTTGTTACAACCAGTTATTTACTGGAAACATAGAGGATCTGTCATTTTTTGCCATAATATAAACTCAAACCTATTAAGACCATGGCTATAAATTTGCAGAATAGCCCATTCCCAATGTGCTGTGTTCTCGTAAATTTAGGGGAAAACCCCACAGCATCCACTTTAAAAAGTCAAACCAATGACCCTTCGACTTGTTACCATGACAACCACCAGAATTTAATTTCCCTTATTCCACACTCGACAATCAATTTCATTTTCTAGGCTGTCCCCAGCCATGCTAGGAAATAGTTTTGAAAGTATATGACCAAAATTCAGCCATGTCTAACGAGTCTCGGAGGTGTCATAACACATAGCCATTATTGACAAACTATCATCGTAAAGCATCATACTAAAACCATTTAGCAATAAGCAATCTTTCAAGAAAATTACCCAAGCCACTTAGGGTCAAGTCGGGGATCAATGGAGAGCTTCATTGGGGATAGTCTGGGAGAGAGAGGCAGATATAGCCAGATCAGATCTTCCTACAAATGCTCAAAGTCCCTTCACATGAATAACATTTGCCTTACGAGCAAACCTTCATCTGGCTAGATTGTTTAAGATAGCTATAAGAAATTAGCAAATCACGGTCAAAATTGGATCGTAAACAGCCATAAATGTTACCATATCGTTAACAGATTGGGAGGAGGATATTTCTCAGGTTTCCACACCCCAATACTGTTCCTGGTTTTAAGTAGTTTGTTGAGCATTATATGATTTGGGGTTTTTTTGCTGTAGATTTCAACATTTGTCAGATGAGATTTCTCACATCAAATCAATAGTCAGAGTGAAACAATGCAATGTGTTTTATTGGGATGTGATATTATATATTCAACAGTTCTTCTTGCAGTAGATATACAGGCTGACATTAACTACTCACTTATAAAAGTTGGCTGGATATGTAGAATTCTGGAAAGTTGGAGAAGCCTTGTTTGGGTCAGCTGAAAAGGAATAAATACATACAACATACCGGTATTTAAAATAAAAATACAATATATTTTGAGAATGGCGCCAATTCTCATAGTACCAAGCTGATTTTTTTTCAAAAGTCTGAAGACAAAATTACAGTTACCTGACAATAACTGTTGATGTTTTGGGGAGTGCTCTTTGACACAATCTACTGTACCAGCATGAGCAAGCTAAACCCTTTAACCTTCTAATATCTGTGTGCTAAGTATTTAATACCCTAATCCCCTAATTTCTCTCCAGTATGACAAATCCATGGCTGCAGATCACATGACATGTGCTTGCTTGTGCTGTCTCTATAGTCAGCCATCTTCGCTTCATCATAAGCAAGTCTAACAAAGCACAATTAAGTAAGTGCTTGTTAACTGTGAACACCACATGCCAGCTGCTCTTGGGGCTCCCCCCAGCAGCTGGGGCTCACTCCCCCCCCCAGCACCAGGTCAGGACTGCCACCCCCAGGGATGTTGTGACTGACCATCTTGAATCACCAGGTAGGAAGCAGAGCATCATGGCTTTGGCAATGTAAATCTGACTGATCAATCACACTTAAACCAGGGAAAACATGGGAGTCCTACACCAAGCCATTAAGTGACTTCATGTATTGAAATCACTCTCATTTGTTAATATCCCATAGAAAACTTAAAACACTGCATTTCTGTCCAGTGTTATATCAAGGGTATTTTCAAAAAATCATTTAAACTATACACTATTATTTGAAAATAGTTTGAACATATTTCTAAACATATCTATTTTCTGGCAATATTCTTTTGTCAAATAAAGCAAATTCTAGTTCATCTCGAAATTTGTGTATTTCTAATAAAATATAATGTCTAAAAAGAGGCAAATATTGTATAAATACAATTCAACATGAAAAATATTTAGGAAAGTATAAAGAAATACATTCCTAGAAGAGCAATGGATGGGTGCCATAGCATGCACAGACAACAAGAACACTATGACATATTAAACTGTGACATTTCCCACAGCCAACCCGATGATAATATACAGAGACATTGTATTTCTAATACAACCACTAACTTCCTAATTTCCATTTAAACAGAGATCCTTTTAAATATCCCAGCCTAACATTCAGGATTCGATATGCTCTACTCCCTATAAAGTAGACCAGTGATTGAAATGACGGGCAAATCAAAACAAATGGCACCATGGAAACGCTAGTGGAAACTCACTTAAACAATTAGTAGAGACTGAAAATCACCATCAATCCCATAATCTCAATATTATCTGTGCCGGCTTCATAATTAAAACATGTCTGTTTGAGAAATCCCGAGTGGCACAATAACATCATGATAATCAATTCCAGCATAATATGATCTGTACCAGGTCTACACTGCTAAGCTGCTGTATGGTCTGGGTGTATCACACAGGTCTGGCGAGAAACAGGTGCACCACATACCACATACAAAATATACCACTTGCAGAGGAATATTGACAGGTCCAAACCTCAAAATTGATTGAACATTTCTTCTACAAGAAATTTAGGAATCGGGATGAGAATATACCTATTATATTTCATTAACAATTTCCTACAATATTGGATGTGACAGTTGGCAACTGAAACAGTTGAACCAAAAGAAATTAATAAATATAATTAAAACTTGACAATCAGTGGAACTGGACAGAGTCAATGCTGTTCAAGCTGCAGTCAGCAATAGTGACAATATCACATCAGTCCGCATATTCCAGCTGGACAGCAAAGCCAGTGCTATAACATGAGCAATGCCTTGCCGTGTTGTATGTCACACAAACAGCCAGGTCACACAGTTGGACCAGCAAACTCACATCTTAGTTGGCTAATACAACAAAAGACAAGGGAGAGCTAGGGGCTAATTCTCACCCTGAAATCCCATGCAGCAAGCTGACCAGTGCAGTAAAGCATATTGTAATTCATTAAGGAAGCTGTCCCTTCAATCCTACAAGTATACTACCTAGCCCGTGTTCCCCCCTCTGTGTGCCCCATCCTTCTGTTCCACACATACTCAACTCCACCAAATCAAAGCTTTTATCTAAAACAATTTTTTTCCATGGGAAATGCAAAGATGATTCTTAAACTATTAACTGTCTAAAATAAGAAATCTGAAAATCAACTTGTCTAAATGTTTGTTTGTTGTTCTGACCTGTGAAAGTGTCCAGATTATCACTGGCTGTGCTTGCCGTGAAGGGAGACTCAGACGAGCTGTTCTCTGTGGAGGGTTCACTCTTTACAATCACTGAAACACACCATTGTCACCATACCTCATTACAAACTCACAAATTCAATCATCAAGTTTTAAGTTTGAATTTGGGATATAAGCTGATCATTAACATTATAAAATTGCCAGACATCATCCATCATTCAATGTAAAAAACAGTTTTGTCCCCCCAAAATGCTGTTGTTTCTGCTTAACATATAGTGAATATGTCCTTTGGGCACAAAACTCAAACATCTGCCTTTGACTAGTCAAAAGAAACAAAGCTAAAACATCCAAACCATTGCAACCCATTTTGTTGATAGATGAAATGTGCAAACAATTTTGTGCTCATTTCCATGCAATAGTACAATCATTGTTCATTTGTCACCCCTGAACTGGTAATGATTAGTTAGACCTGCTCTGATAACCTTCGCACACGGACAAGCCAAATCACCATCAGGATAAACTGCCGCCATCTTTCACCAAAATTAATTGCTTTGTCTTCAACAAGAACAACATGGCATAACTAAGATTACAGACATTTTGGGACTGATAAGACCCAGATATATTGGGGAATTATCTTAATAAGTAAAATCACTCCCTCATTAAGCTTTAGGGAATGGTCTGCTCCATACTATTTGATCGCCCAGGACATAATTCTAGAAAATAATTTTTGAAGATGAGAATAAATAAGCATTTCTTTGTTTCATGAACAAGCTTCATTCATAAAATTAACAGATAAAAAATTCAAATTTAATCAAAGACATTAACAGTAATTTCTTATAATGCTGGAGTTATACAAAATGCTAAGTATTTCCATGCAGACTGTGTCCCTAATGTAACTACACTGTTTTTTTTGTTTTCTTTCAGAGCAACAACCACTGAGTGTTTGGGCCAGGACATTAATTATTAATTTATCATGAATAGGCTCTTTCTACAGAAGAAAGTGCAAGGTTTCAAAATGTTTGAAGTGTGTTTGTATTTAAAGGAATAACTGAAATAACTTGCTTCACTTTAAAACACATACAGAAATTCCACGTTTGAATGTAACCCAAAAAGTACCAGGACCTCTGCCTCCATTACTCCATTAATCACCGAGCCAATGAAGACCTCTTATATTGGACTAGCATGCTTGGCTTGGAAAATGTGTTACTAATTTGGCTGGTATGATTTGCAAGGGTTTGGCTCTTGATTTGACAATTAGCAAAGTTATTCTCACGACAGAAGCAAGAGAACACTCTCCAACTTGTCAGGGCAATCAAGTAGAATGTACTGACTTATGCATCATGCCATGATAATGCTTAGAGCTCCTCAAAAACAAAATGGCCGTCTGTGGTTGGTGAAGAAGACAACAAAAAATCATGCACTCACTTGAAGCAAATTGTATCAGGTAGAGATGAAGGGCCATAAATACAATGAGATTCCATTTAAAGCAAGCACAGAGAGGGAGACTGAGCAATTACTAGCAATTGAGTGTCTAAGTGCCCAATGGACTGGGAGTTGGTAAATCTAATCAGTGCCATTGGTGGGGAGCTGGGGTTCTGACTGGGGAGTTCCCCAGTCCCTGGTCTTAATGAATTGGACAAACTGATCCACAACAGACACAGGCATTACCACGGTGAACTGGAGGGCCTGGACCTATTTGTCTCACAAGTGTAACCATTTAGCGACTGTAAAAAGGAGAATTTGTTCGCACATTCAGTTGAAGTAGGGATGCTGTGGAATTAAGCCAACGTCTTCTTGGACTAATATAATGGCAATATTTTCATTACTTGCAATGTCACCGGGGGGACTTGGAAGAAAAATATTTGACATCTTGAAATTGGGATTTGAAGAGGAAACATTTGAAGGGTATTTCAGTGGTGGGCTGGTGTCAAATGCATGAACTACTACTGTTGATAAACACATTGAAAAGTATTTGTTTAATACTTACATGAGGATGCATTAACAGTGTTGCTGATCACCCAAGAGTTGGGGTTGGCATAGGTTGTCCCATCTGACACGGGCAGAACCAAGCTGCCTGAACACACAAAAACATCATGATAACATAAAGCTTACCTATGTAATGCAGGACAAGCTTGCATGGTTCTAGATCATGTGAACTTGAATATGAATACAGCAGAGAATACAGCAGGGATTTGGAAGTTAATCACAAAAAATGACACTTGCAAAAAGAAAGTAACAAAGAGCAAGGGCTGTGCACAAATTTGTCGAATTTAAACTGACTGGCAGCAAAAGGAAATGTCCAGTTCAGTTGTTAGAGGCTTCTAAACATATTTGACCTTTCAGACAAGAGGCTTTCCTGAGCGACTGTAGGTGTCAACAAAAAACCTCTGTTGACAGCTGCACAGCAATCTCCTCCCCCATCACAACATTGAAATGTGGCAAGGCAGTTATACCATGTCGCATCATTTTTTCAAATCGTGTGATACAGTTTTGGAGCATATGTCAACTCATCCAAATTGGTTTCATGGGATGAAGAAGATTGGGCCATGATTGGACCCTGGTGATAATTTTGATAAGTTGCAATGGTGTCAGTACTGGCGTGGCTGAGATTGATGGGCGATTCAGTGATGCAGACCAACCATAATGTCTCCCTAGTTCCATAACAATGGACACTACCCAGCTCTATCGCATCATCTCTCTGATAAGACCTCTGACAATAACTCATAAATTTTCTTGTCACAGTCAATGTGAGACTGGTGAAGTATGTGAGATATGCCGGGCCAGCCCCCAATTCTTTATTTAGTTCTCACATTGAATGTTATGATATAGCACAATACAGTAGGTATCATAAATAGACATATTACTCTATCGCTTTGGGATGAGTCTACTGACATTCAAAGGAACTAAAAAGTTGGCATAAAATAAGCATATGACAAGTTACTTAAATAGACGTCATACTTCTTTTAGCTTGAAAGGAATATTTATTATGTGATGTTAGTTTTATCTTAAATCTTTTAGATAAATTGATAAATTGAATGATTCCTAATAAATGCACAGACAGATCCTGTTTTACCGGTACCAGGAAGCAAACAGGGCCTGTCTATACAAAGGAGGTCTTGCAGAAGGATGTCACAAGTTTAGTTAGAAATAATAATAGAAGTCTCACCCTCAGCAGTGCCATTTGTGTTGAGTGTGTCAGAGAGGGCCTGAGCCTGTGCTTGAGCCTGGGCTTGTGCTTGAGCTTGTGCTTGAGCCTGCGCCTGAGCTTGGCTGAGAGGGGAGTTGGTGGCACTGTCAAGGTGAGAGCTGCTGCCTGGACTGCTAGACAGGGGCTGCAGATCCACTAACCTACAACACAGTCATGTACTTTAGTTGTAGCTATAGACAGGGCTGCAGATCCACTAACCTACAACACAGTCATGTACTTTAGTTGTAGCTATAGACAGGGCTGCAGATCCACTAACCTACAACACAGTCATGTACTTTAGTTGTAGCTATAGACAGGGCTGCAGATCCACTAACCTACAACACAGTCATGCTGCCACTAGTCATGTACTTTAGTTGTAGCTATAGACAGGGCTGCAGATCCACCTACAGGGCTGCAGATCCACTAACCTACAACACAGTCATGTACTTTAGTTGTAGCTATAGACAGGGCTGCAGATCCACTAACCTACAACACAGTCATGTACTTTAGTTGTAGCTATAGACAGGGCTGCAGATCCACTAACCTACAACACAGTCATGTACTTTAGTTGTAGCTATAGACAGGGCTGCTGCAGATCCACTAACCTACAACACAGTCATGTACTTTAGTTGTAGCTATAGACAGGGCTGCAGATCCACTAACCTACAACACAGTCATGTACTTTAGTTGTAGCTATAGACAGGGCTGCAGATACTTTACAACACAGTCATGTACTTCAGTTGTAGCTATAGACAGGGCTGCAGATCCACTAACCTACAACACAGTCATGTACTTTAGTTGTAGCTATAGACAGGGCTGCAGATCCACTAACCTACAACACAGTCATGTACTTTAGTTGTAGCTATAGACAGGGCTGCAGATCCACTAACCTACAACACAGTCATGTACTTCAGTTGTAGCTATAGACAGGGGCTGCAGATCCACTAACCTACAACACAGTCATGTACTTTAGTTGTAGCTATAGACAGGGCTGCAGATCCACTAACCTACAACACAGTCATGTACTTTAGTTGTAGCTATAGACAGGGGCTGCAGATCCACTAACCTACAACACAGTCATGTACTTCAGTTGTAGAAGATCCTATAGACAGTGATCTTCCCCATCTCCACTGGCCTATGTGTAAGCTGCCTATCAAAGACAACATCAGTTCAATGCAATTATTACCTGTCCATTAAAACTGCCTCTAAAAAACAAGATACATTCACAGTAACAGTTTTACACAGGAAAAAAATCATGACTGCTTGAAAAAAAGCTGAACATCACCCCTTATTTTCATTGGTACCAATCAACTTATTCCTGGTAATCTTTCACAGACACTGATGTGTTTACAACTGAAAGAGTCATCTTGAACCACAAAATTAATTCCGTATTTACAAACATTTCAATGTTCAGAAAATGTCGCAAAGCATAATTTCAATCCAACTAAAATTTGCAGTTTGTTCAATTCCCAGAGAAAAGGGGATAGTGCTAGAACAGTAGTAAGGCTGTTGTAAGGCTATTGTTAGTCTTATATAGGGGGTCTGACACCTTTCTGTCATAAAACACTCTTGGAAAAAGCAGGCAGAATTTTTTATCAAAGAATTTCAACCGGATGGGATTTTGACAGGATGCACAATAATCACATGCTTTCTTCTCTCAAAACTGTTTTTGGCATTTCTAATGAATTAGCCTTGTCATCCGGTGTCTCCAAGAATACTTTGCTAGCCAGCTTTTTCGATGTTCTTCCATTTTAACACACCACCACCTAATTTCAATGAGGAAAATTGCCATTAAACCATGCAGAGCAGGAACTAAATGGGTTGTTAATCTCCTGACGTCAAAGAATTGACATTTATAATCAATTTTTTTCTTTCATTAGCACAACTATTATATCAAATGCAACTATTATATCAAATTTTAAAAAGTAATATATATTTATGCCAATCTTCGAAAAGTTGTACATTCCTTCTCTGCCAGCTAGGGTTCGGCTAGTGAATATTTCAACCAAATGTTACTGAGTTAAAATAGATTTCATTTAAAAGTTTGATAGAAGACATTAATCATGAGATCCGCAAGCCAAGCTGTGACAGATCAGCTGGTCCATTAACTGGGCATCTGTAATTTTAACACAGCAGGATGCAGGCAGAGACTTATTCACCAGTATACCAATAAAACCAGTTTCACTTAGTTCTAAAACTTAACTGCAATTAATCACATTCAAGGCTGCATGAAGTTGATGGTCCATTAAACAGCCCCAACTAAACACCTACCACTGTTGGTAACGATTATACATTAACCCAATGTTTATGTACAGAACAATCCATAATGCACGATTCTTACCAACAATGGATAAGGTTTATATTACCTAGACAAATAACTGCCGCCCATCACAAGATGCATTTTTTTTCTAAAATATCCCTTTACGTTTTTTTATACAAACAATAGGTATCGATAAATAGTTCCTGGATGATAAAACCCTTTAAAATAATGAATAGTACATCACATAACCTTCACCATCACAACCACCTCCAAACCCTATTTTCTGTATTGACAAAAATGCACAGAAATCAACACAGAAATCAACCACTTAATATGAATTGTTAATCCTGATGATATAATTTCTTGCTGAATGTTTTCCAAGATGCAATCTACACTGTGAAAATGCTCTTTATGGCTGTTAAGCTTCTTTGCTGGAATCAAACTGTGAGATCTCTTGTCTAAGCATCTCAATTTGACACAAATTTGGCCTAACTGTCAAGCGATTGGTTTAAGCGCTCCATAATGCCTGCAGATAGTGATTGGAGGAATGTTCACCTGATTATCTGCTCATGTCATAAATGTTTAAGTACCCCTGACAGACAGGGCACCAGGGCAGCCAGCTTTAGCCAATATTCAAACTGTATCCTACCCTGCTTCATCTTATTTAGAAAGAAGCATTAGACACTTTATCAATAACAACAACTGAATCAATGCATGGCATACAATATAAAAAGAATCTGTACAATATGTTTTATAAAACTGGCCCAAGACCCTCCAAGAAATAATATTATTACAACTGATGGATATTAGATCAGATTCACCCACTTTCTAAAATGAGTACTTTGAATACACATATTAAGATGAATAATAAAATACATAGAATTGGGTACAAGTTGTTCTTGAAGTTCACTCAGTTCATGTTCCCAAGCTAAATTAGATAATGACCACATTACATATATGAAATCTTCAAGAAAGAAGTGTATGACTTCCAGTTAAATCCATCCTGACACTTTTTCTTTTAAATGGCGTATCTAGACGCTAGCACCAAAGAAAATTGTCCTAATTATTCCCACAAAAAAATCTGCTTCTGTTTTTTTTAACACAGTCAGTCTCTTTCCTAGCATAGAAATCAATAGTGCATCTCAATATCAAAGAGCGACAATGCCTACAAGTCTGTAATATTTTATCAATTAAAACCAGTGAAACAGAAGACATTTTAGATTCCCCTAAAAAATGTCCACAGCTGACAGACTCAGGACATTAATAAATGTTCACGCTAAACTACACAGAAAGGTTTCAGTTGAGCAATTTCATCTGTAAAATGACACACTATGTCATATTAGGAAAATCTATTACAAAATAGAAAGTTTTTGTTTCACTGTTTAATTCACAGTTTGGTAAAGGTTGTTGTTCCTGAAACAGATCTAGTGTAGTGTTACACATACTGACCTAAAGATGGCAATATCAGTTTTACTAACTAATCAATGAAATAACTGGAGGTTTTCAAGCAGGCCAATATTTTATGTTAAACTAAATCTTTGTTAAATGAACCAATGTAAAACAAAACAATTGTGGGCTTTGTAAATTAGCAAGACATACTATTTGTTGCAAAAGGATTACATTGTATTGTTCTTGTCAAATAATTATAAATGTTAAAATTCAACATTTGTTCTAGAATCTTAGATGGGGTATTTCAGTGTTGAAAGAAGATCTCTATCCTGATGAGATTAGTGATGTCAAGATGTTATTTCTGAAAGTCATAGTTGAGTTGCTAGGCGAGGCATTACATCCCTGAATTAATTATTGAGGAATTCCTGACAGTGTAGAGAGGCTCAGAAGAAACTATCTATCTGAAAAATCTACATAGGTGAGCTGGTTCATGGATGTCAAAATATTGTTCCACATGAAGATGATGTTACCCAAACTAAGCTTGCAGCACCTGAAGGCAGCGTAACCGTCGTCAGGTTACACAGCAATTAACAAGTAAATTAGTTTGTGATCATCAAGATTCATGTGGATCCTCTTGTAAGTGGAAGTTTCTAAACAAAAGTTGACAGTATAATTAAAGTATAGTAATTATGGAGAAATCACATGCCATTCTGTTGAATCATGCTGTTCTCATCATGTTAGTGCACTCTGTACACATCTAATGTGGGAACATTTAAACGCAACTTTTTACCTACACCATTATAATTAAACTTTAATTATAAAACTAATTCACAGGCTGGGAAGAAGAATCTAACTTTATTCATTAAATCTGAATATGAAAACAAGAAAAATTTCATGTATGACTGAATTTGTAAAGTGAAATGTCCTACTGCTATCCTTTTGCATGTGTTGGAGTATAATTGTGTGTGAGTGTGTGCATGCTGGTCTACTAGGACAAGCAGCCGAGGGAGGAACTGAACAAGGTGGCCTACACCAAGGTGCAGTGCACATGTTTACATGTAGAACAGGTGTCCCCTGACCTTCAGATTGTAATAATCCAGGGCTAATCCTAATCATTACCAGCTCACAAGGCCCTCTACCCACACCGCATGTAGTAGTATGTTAGGGAGTGTAGTACATTCGGCTAGCACGACTCACTGTGTCAGCCTAGCCAGCCCATTCATGGTCTACTACTATAGACAGGTGGCCCTCAACATGTCTGCTAGATTATATTCCACTGTAATCTCCTGCACACTCCTATTACTGTGGCTATTCCGTTCTCCTCCCACCCCTCCTCCCTGTGCCCCTGTTGGCAGCTCCTCCAGGGTGACACCAGGCCAAGGTGATATGTCATCGGTGAATGTGAGCGGGGAAGGGACACCAGACTCAAACACATACCTTGATGCTGCTGACACCACAGGGCTGGTGTTGTCGACCAACTCAGATTCGTTATCAAGTCGAGACCGCTTCACCTGAAAAACACAATGTGGATTCTCATCAAACTGACAGAACATTGTAGGGTTCTGTTGTTCCCGCTTGACTAGAACGATACAGCCATACACAGCCAATCACAATTTAGAAAGCTGGCCTTAGACAATATGACTTTGCCACTTGAATGATCGGTCAAGTTGATAGTAGTTTAATAGCCTGGGATGCTGGAGACAACAATAAGCTCCAGTACAAAGGCCAATTGAAAAAGAATGTGGGTATATGCAAGTATAGTGGACTCCGTACAGGTGAAAGGGCAGACTCTTGGCTAAGAACCTGTATAAACACTGTACAGACCTTCCCAGGTCCACGCTCTAGACTAGTCAGAGCAGGACATCACTGAGTATGGAAATATTTAGTCTATACACCTTGAACATGAACATTGATTGAAGTATATTATTAATAAGGTGGCTCAATAATCCCGTGAACATCAGTCTAACATTCCAGGAAGTACAAATCAAAGTCCACACACCAACCACTGGGACTTTACTGAAATACAAGGAACACACTATAAACAGCATGCTACAGTCAATTTCTCAAAAGGGCCAAGTAAAAACACAAGATGTCTCCATCCGCCACAGATAGGAAATACACAATGCAGCTAACACCCAAGTTTGACTCTTCACTGTGTCTGTGTGGAGAATGTGAAAACCACATTCCCTTCCTCAAACCCTCCTTACTACACACTGCTAAGTCTTGTGTCCACTGACCTATTTTCACAGCAAACATGCCACAAAGTTCACTTTCAACAAAACTCCAAAGCATTATATAATTTTGTTTGAAAGAGCTTAACAGCAAGGATTTTACACAAAAAGTGCAAGAGAGCAAACATGTTAAGCAAATAGACCAGAGAGGCTCTAATTATGTGATTACGGCAGCAACACAGGACTGTCCGCCTCCTCCAGGGGCTCAGCCATAGCAGTGAATATACATACAAAATCAGTAGTCAATATATATCATACATTATGCCAGGCAACAAGGTGACATCATTTTAACAAAACAATTCTATTAGAAATTGTATCATACTGTCCTTTTTTTTCTTCTTCAAACAGTTTCAAAGCCCCAAATGGTAAAAGGCAAAAATTTTGTGTGCACTATTTGACAGGTGGCAAGTGTATGAATATTTCACAGTATTCACTGCCATGTAGAGTCCCAAGCATTATTTATTCAGCAGAGTAAAATTAATTGTGACAGGTTGCATCTGGCGTCCATTGCTCAAGCCTTCAACGCATATACAGGTAAATGACTTGGTACTGGAAGAGACTCGTACACATACAGCATCAACCCCATCCTGCCCGATCCCTGCTTCTCCCACAACTACCATAACCAGACTTGTATACAATCACTTGATGGAGGACAGAGGACACAAGACTCATGAGTGTTTAAAATAAGTAATAAAATATTTCCAAAAACACAGTCTTTAACAATGCAGTGTCCTGCATGCCTAAGCAACCATAGATAATTCAATAACAGCCTTTTACACACTTTATGAATTTTAACAGCTATTCCTATTTAGATAAACAGATAATAGCAGATAGGTTTAATTCATTAATGATAGAAAAGAAAGACTTCTCCACAAGAACAATATAATATTCATCCATGACAGAAGTCATACTTCCAAAGGCACAAATGCTCTAAATAATCCAAACCATTTAAGCGTACATAATGTCTTACAAGTATATCCAACAAGTGTGTTCACAAACAGGGATAGAGCAGTAATTCTGTGACCTAGTCAAAGGGTGGCTACAAGATGCCAAGGAGATGTCACGGCTAGGGGAAGAGGGTCAATCCCTTACAACAATACTGGCACAGCCCAGCACAGCCCTGTAGTGAAAGTAAAATCTACTGCAAATACATAGCAGAAAAACACAGGACAGAACAGAAACATGCCCTCCAACTGAAAGTGTTTTACGTCTCCACTTCCCGACAATGTGCAGTGGTGGGAAGATGAGTGGTGTGTGCTAAAGTCGGCCACAAAACCCTGTGACATCATAACCATGATGTGTGACCAGTTGGTAGGGTGTGGGAGAGCAGTTCAGCATTGAATATGCTGGGATGGAAAGGTTTGTGATTACCAGGAACTGTAATAACCCAGTGTTGTATATACCCTAGTCATTACACCCTCTGGTCCTGCAGCAGTTCACAAACACTGGAAAACGACAGAGTTAGCACACCCTCAAACAGAATAATTGTCCTCATTACAAACTCAACAAAGGCCTCCCTGAATGGGATAACTTTACGACATCCACACTCAATGCATATTACCTGTCAATGAACACTGTTAGGATTCTTTGGTGAAAATTTAAGGCTATTAAATAGACTTGCTAGGTGTACTTACTCTCAAAGCGAATGACAACATCAATCATCTAACATTGTCAATAAAATAACTAGGATCAAAATGAATATTTCAAAGACAAGGAATTTTTAAATACATCTTTGAGCACCTCTGTAAGGATTTGATATTCAAAGTGACACTTAATACACATTAAGGCATAACTCAAAGCGGTCGCTTGTTTACCTGGCAAAATTATAAACATTAAAGGAATTTAAATATTTAAAAAAGTGAAAGTTGATTATGTTACTGACAGTAGGCTCTGACTTTCAACTTGATTCTTTTGGGGACATAACATTTATGACATGTTAATTATCTTGTTTCTTCACTTTTGGATCAATTGTACACCATTCAAACTAAGGAAGATGACGAAAAATAATTTCCTTGATCTATTGAGTTTTGAACAGTTGTAATCAACAATAACTTGCATAGTTTCATAGTTATTTAAAAAAGCAACATGTCCTGCAAACCAAGAAACACTTTTTATCAACCAGAAAACACGAACTGCAGCTTTGGATTTCATCACAAACAGTTTGTCAAATGAAGACAAATATTTAAACAAAAGTAGCTATGAAACTGTTCTTTATGAGATTTTGTTTAAAAAATTAATAAAGGCATGTAAGTGGTATTCCTTCCAGAATTAAGTTGTGGAATAACATGTAAAGACTAGATCATGGACAGCTAGTTTGACACACTGCTAGAAGTCCTTGTCTGGGGGTTCTAGAGCACAAGTATATTTCTACCACAATTATGGCTATCAAAGCTGATTGTTTTCTGTCATCTAATGTGGTGGATCCTTAATGAAATTACCACGGTAATGACTGGCACACGTGTTAACCTTCAGAATACTGCACATTTTAACAGCATCATTGCAGTATGATTAAGCATGTGATAATAACGTCACAGAAAGGTCACAGTTAATGAAAGTCTTGAGCTCAATGATGTGAAAATACTGCAGGAAATACATGGAACATTGGCCAAATTCTTGTGCTACTTTGTGCTGAAAGAGGCCTACATAAACAGCACTAACCATGGTGAGGTTCTCCAAGAAGGCGGATATCGGCATGATCTGTGTCATCTTGCCCTGTTGTGGTAAAGTCAAATGGATCACAGACAACGTGGTAAACGTTTTCCTGGACACAGGGATTTAGTAGCGTTTGTCTCTACCCACAGCCTGGATACTCGTAAACATATTCCTTCACACTCTAGTACTGTACCAACGCTGACAGTCATACACAACATAAACAAGTTTCCAAATTGTTGGGGTATATGCAGGAATACCACCGAGTGCAGGCTACAGGTGACTTGGTGGCACCTCCAGCTAATCCTCCTTTAGTGTGTATGGTCTACATCCATGTGCCACACTTACAAGGAGGTGATGAGAACAGAATGTAGGCCTGAGATGACAATATTAGTTCCCACGTGGTCTAGTCAGTAATGAGAGGACTTGGCCTCAGTGTTGTGGTGGTTAAAACACTGTGGGAAATAAGCACATCACAGTGCTAGTGAACAACTGTTTGCCTCATAACTCTCATATCTGCATGTGAGAATCAGGCTGGTCCATTATGGTATTTGATGGATGCAAATCACAGCAGAGAGGACTTATCTCTCCAGAAATCTGTAAACATGTGCTGTGGCCCCACCATAAAGTGGTGAGAGCTAGGATGGACACTTTATCAGTACAGCCAGTTCTTGTCAACTTGCTAAATGGTCCCTGTCAGAACCATACTTAGATCAATGTGCTGACAACCTCACAACATTCAACAAGGCAAAAATGGCAAAAGTCCAGACAGAGATTGTCTAATATCCACCAAACATTTGAAACTGATCTTTTTCAAATGTGATCAGTCATAAAGTTTAAAAATGTTGCTGATGTCCTGCTTGTTTCAAACTTCAAGTGATGACCAAGCACAAAGTTGTGTAAGTACAACAGCCCAGTATCCACTGGGTAGAACCTCCTCCTGCAGATTGGGGAACACTTTTTCCAACAAAATGGATGACAAGCAAATGTCCTTTTTTCCAAATAGCACCGAGTTCCACCAGCTTCCTCCATTAACTGACACACACAACTAACCTCCAAGACTTCAAGTCAACAGGAACTTGTGGTTAAGTTAGTCAAGTTTGTGACAAACCAGGGCCTGTATGGAGATTCCACTGAGTTGTTCCCTGTCTACCAGTAACACACAAGACCAGATACACTCTGGGACAAGCTGCTGACATCCTGTTGCCATGGTTACAATATCTATAATCCTGTTTCTATCAAAACTTGAGCTGTTTATCCTGTCAAATGTGTTGGACTGCAAGCAGGTAGGGCTTGAAGTTGAGGATAGGACTTTTTCTCTATCTACCAACATTTACATGAATGTTGTGTTGCTAGCCCCAGCCTTATCACTGGCCCCCTGGTGGAGCGTGTGGAACTGGGGCACTGTTAGGGTGGGGCACTGGAATACTAAATGTTACTACCATGCTGTATTACTCTCACTATGAATGTAGATGACATATTCACAAACATTTTATAACTCACAAATCACATGTAAAAAGAACCTTCACTCTGAAAACTATATTAACTGGAAAATGATTTTTATCTTAATAACCTCATAGAAAAATATTGACTTTTGAAAATACCCTGAAGTAAATTTATGTAGATTTAGGTTATAAAAAAATAACTTGTAGAAATAATAAAATAATTCTATATGAAAAAAGAATGATTTCTCCCTTAATAGATATCTATCTCTAAACAGATGTTTTCTTATCTTCAGCAAGTATTATGACATTAATTTTACATGCTATCCTCAGAAGTACAAGCAATACCAGCTATCAAGGTTAAATGGTGGAAGAAACTCACCACCTGACAGAACTAAAGATACAACCTTAGTGAGGCCCCTGTGCTCGCTGAGAGTGAGAGTCATGTGAAATTCTCCTCCATTCCTCCCCCTGTCCCATAAGCTGAGGGAGGAGGGCCTCACAGCAGAGACATCAGTCTACAACAGCTGGGCTTCACCTCTGCCAGGCCATAAACATGCCAAAATCTAACCTCATTTTCTCTATAATTAAATACCTAAATAAACCATTTCTTCAATGATTTCCCTTAAAAAATGACAAAATTTGTAGCAGCAAAGAAAGTTACTAGTTTACAAGTGACTTAATATCTTGTCTTGCTGTTTTTACTTTTTCTAGATGCTGCCAGAATAAGGTTTCTATCCTCCTGAAGAAATATAACTGTTGTTTGTTTCTAATGTCACTACAGTTTTTATTGAACCATTTTCAGTAAAAAGGACCAAATTTGTACTGCCAAAGAAAAACATTCAATATTTTCCACAAGCATCAGTATTTTGGTCTTTTGATTTGAATAAATATTGAGACATCATTTTCAAACATTTTGAAATCAACAATCATAAGTAATCACTTGACAAAGTACACAAAGCCACGCTAAATTGCTTGTCACAATATGTGAGGATATTTTTGAAAAACACATCCAACAACAAATTTGAGGGAAAAGATAATATTTTTTTAAAATATCAATTCTTCATAATTCATGTCAGAATGATCACAGGTTAAAATCCTTAATGAGATCAAATTTTATAAACAAAATTACTATTTCTAATTCCAGTAATGGTTTTAACAGCCATTTTTATGAACACCCTCTGTTTCTGCACTGAGAACAAAGCTCTTTAATGATATTTTCTGCCTTATTGAAATAATCGATAATGAAATAGGATCACTCATTGTATGATAAAAAATGCTAATCATACAACAGCAAAGTTAGTACTGGCAGAATCGTGAGTTTACTGTAATTCAAACTGTATTTTTGTCAACCCAGCCCTGGTCTAAGTTTACGTGATTTGTGAGTAATTACTAATGTAAATTATTGTCTAGTTAGAATCCAGTGAAAAGATTCTAGTAAAATTTCAAACATGAATTAAATATAACTATTTTACAACTTCCTCAAAGATTACTAGGTTGTTGGCTAATTCCACAGAATAGTAAAAAATATTTTCTTTGCATGTTTGAAAATATTCGTCCTTTTCCCAAATAGAACTGTCTTGTCATTGGCATAGATGTGATGGTTAAGATGTGTTTTGCATTGTGAGACCTTCCCAGCACAAAGATCTCAAGATGACAATTGTAACAATTCTACACAAGTTTTCACACCCGATCTTACTCAAATTAATTAATTACTTGTCAAACACAAAGACTCATCATTTAATCATACCATGTTCATGCCTGCAAGTTTACAATATAAACAATTCATCACATACAAAACTATTCAGCTCTTGAAATATAAATTTCCCAGAAAGGCTCTGATGTATAATTCCTTCAGCACGGACATCAGTCACAGTGGAAAAACAACCCTTTGATGCTTCATGTATATCTACTTCTCTTCCTCAATGGACTCTGTTGGCTGGCAATTTCAAAACTACTAAACTAGGAAATGATGAAATGGGCAGCCCTTGGTCTTTTGCTAAAACCTGCAAACTATTTTGTGATAAAACACAAGAAGAAAATAACATATTTCCTGAAAGGACATCTTGTTAAATAAGCAGTAATTCGTTAGCCTGATGCACCACATACAATCACTTACTAGATGGGTGACCAAAGCTCTGCAGCCACCACACAAAGGTCAGAAAAAAACCCCACAAATTCATCAAAGGTAAATATACCAGCTATTCTCCTCAACTGGACTGACAAGAAAAGAACACTGTCAATATCTTTTCAAATTAAGGACAAGGTATTCCTGGGGTGTGAAATGTGTTTTGGTCAACAATAGGTAACCCAGTTCCCACACTAAGGCTTGTGAAGGCCACGCCAAGTGTTGAAAAAGAAAACATTGAAGACTGGCATCAATTAATGGTTCTCTGCATACAAAAACAGCTTAGCATTCTCTCTTCATGTTTATTGCTGTTGCATAGTCTCCAAACCTACACCAGATGTCCTCTCAATCTTGTCAAAATCTACCAAGCTGGTTCCTTTGCACTAACAAGTCACCACTAATTAAATCCTGCTATCGTTAATTGCCATCATTTGCTGACAGATAGTGCTGAGATAATCACACATCCAAACATACCCTGGTTGACATACATAAGGACTGGCTGCATGTTATATATATGGTAAGTGTTACCCCCCAGACCAGTTTATGTGTTCACCACTAACATTTCAATATTGCAATATAGTTGTGAACACTTTTTCCCATATGATATAACATATTACTGGGAAACTGATATGGAGAATTCCGCCCAACAAAGCCTGGACAAATATTGCATGCTGGTCAATTGCATTATCAAATTTTCAAAATGAATAACAATCACACTACAACAACAAAAATATTAATATTCAAACAATTGTTTTTAGCAAGACAAAAACCTATTCTGTGAAAAATATCTTGGGGTTTCAAAACAGATCGGTTCAAGAATTATAACAAGTGACAATGAATTGTAGCCATGGCAGATGGACAATAAGTAAGACCACACATATTGCTACATTTCCTAGTTACCAGTTTCTAACAACAGAATGTCAAAAATGTCTAATTTATCAGCCAATCTTTTCAAAATAAATGCCACACAAAAATGTGATTTTCTCCAATGTCTCATATCAGATCAAATGTAAAAATTCAAGAAACCGTTCTTCAGAGAAAATGAAATGTATTGTAACTATTTTCTACTAAATATTTGATTTTGTGCTATGTAATACAGATGAATATCAGGGCAGCTGATCGCATTGTATACCCAGTGGGAGGCACAATACCTATCAACACGGTCATTTCAGAGGAAATCATCTATCATTTATTATTTTCGGAATTCAAACAATCTTCACTAAATAGTAAGACAATGAACAACATACCAGTTCCTGGGTGGTTCAGAACTTGATCTGGTATTTTGAACTTTCTGTATTCATGCTTTTCAAAATCCAGTTTTTTTAACATACACTATTAACAATAAAAGGTACAAACATAATACTAGATGCAGTTTGTTGAAAACAAGGAATTCAATTCCTGTCAGTGAAATTCATAGTAGAAAAAATTTTATACAGCAAACACAAAAAGAATACTGCAAAATATTTTTAAGGAATATTCTCGAAATTATTCCAATTCTTTTTAATGATTTTGTATTCTAGTTACTCAAAATATAACACCTTGAAAAGATATTGTGGTCACACGTCGACCATTTATCCAAATAATTCAAAAACGCATTTTTCTGTTAAATTAATTATTTAGTTGGCATAACTCTTTAAGAGATGGAAAGATATATTGTGATTATTTTTCCATGTTTAACATTGACACGGGGTGTGAAAACACTCCAGTCCCTCTACATACGTGCTAAGTCACAATAAAGAGGTTCTAACACACAGTAATTCTTTGTGTCTCTTATCTCAAATTCATAGACATGAACCAAGACTAAATCTTATCAATTTTAAACAAACATGACCAATTTTCAGATCCAATTTCGGTAATTTTTTCAAAGAAAGGAAAAACAGCTTGCAAATACACAAGAAAGGTGATACTCAGCTATAAAAGTGATGTATTTTGACTTTTCTATGAAATACTGCAGCCATGGCTGGACTGAACTTTGTGCATTTCAATAGTGTGTATGCTATCGTTACACTTTGTCTCAATAATGTCACTCCTATGCCCAATTTGGCAGCATTGATGTCAAAACTCAGCCTTTTTTCTTCTAACCTCTCCAGGTATTGGAGGTAGAAAATTTGACAATTATGTGCTCTTTGAGTAGCCGGTAATCAGAGGAAAAATCTCTGTCCTTTTCATACGTTTGTTCCCGTGTTTCGCTCTACTTCCCGCCTATACAACTGGCTTTATTATAACTGAATAAAACTGTTTCCCACTCCAAGAAAACAAGTCAAGTGTAATGTATAAGGGCGCTCATCATGGCTACTATTCACAGTTCCACAAAAGCAGGCAAACCCAGGCATTTTTAGCTGGTTGTGTTGGAATGTTAGTGTGAAGAATCTCTATGCTGATACAAACTGGCTTTGTCTGCTGGACAATACCGACACTCACAAACAAACATATATCACTGGTTATTAAGTCACACCAACTACACTAACTCTGGGCCTTTGTGTTGCTCAAGTAGGAGAAACTAGGACTGGTCAGAAAACAGTTTTCATTTCAAGAAAATAATACCAACTCGTGATGTACAAAACAATGGCCAATTTATTGTTGCGACTCAAAAGAAACTGTGTTCATTCAAAAGAGATTATTTTCACGAGTATTGGGTATTCAAAAATACAGACAAAAAAATAGTTAAATATCCATAATAAACTAGATAAAACTTTATCCCAAACTGAA